CAGTTTCAAAACCCTGTCTAATCCCCAATCAGGGGCATAAGAAACCAATCCAATGAGTCTTCCATTAGAATCGTTAGTCGCCGAGAGTGCTGCGATGACGAACTTTGCGTTGCCCCTCGCTTGAAGGATCATCGGGATGGCCTGCCACTTGGGATGACAGTGATGGCATTAACAGCTGCCTGCTCACAACAGGGCTAAACAGCGTGCTGTCCTCATCCATCCCGCGAAGTACACGCCTTCATGATGAAGCTTCGGGAATGTTCTAGCACATAGTTTCATTGATCCACCAGTACCCAAAATGCAGCTCCCAAACTCCAAGACTTAAGTGGAAAACCTTGACCCTCCAACGCTCGACTCTGTACTTCACAGCGAATTCGGGATACTAACAGCCAAGGCTTCAACTAAGTAAGGCACTGACAACAAGCCGCAATCAATATTGCTCGGACGCACTTCTACCAATACCTGTGTAACCATTGGCACGATAGCAAAAAGCCTCCTAGCAACGCAAAAAACAACTCTGACTCCAGACACCGTGTTGTCGCAGCCCCGCTTACCCATTCACGACAGCTGTTACACAAACCCTTTGAAACACACGGTTGCTTCATATCCAAAAGTCGTGCAACATTCATACTGAGATACCCTCACACTTGTTTGTCACAAGCTGGAAGAAACTGCAGGAAGCATTTGTCGCAAAACGGCTGTCCAAATCTGCAATTAAGGAAGAACTACCATGGCCGTCAGCATCATCGTTGCCGCCATCGTCCACTAATTCATGTAGTAGCGGCAGCAGCTGCTTCTGCTGCAGCTGCGACCGATAGAAGCAGCAGCACTAGGAGGAGGAGGAGGAAGAGTACAACACAACATGTATCGACAGCGGCAAGAAGGGGGAACAGCTGTGAGCGTAACAATTAGGCGGCAACCAGGAGAAGATGCTGATCCCTGCAGCGGCCTCCAGTAAAAGGTCCGGGCCCTTCTGTACCGCCAGGCGACCAACGAAGAGGAACATCGGGTCCATAACGTCAAAGCCCTTGTTCAGGCAGTGCTTTCAGTCAGTTGGGGAAGTCGCGTGGCAAGCATGCAGCAGTATGAAACAAAACCACAATGAGCAGCAATACGAAAGCACTAGAACACATGTGCTGCTTAAGGAGTATTCCGAGGGTCATCAGGCAACACTCAAAGGGTTGACTGGACTCGTAGCGGCATGAGGATATCTAATGACGGAAGTCGGAAGGTTATGTTGCTGCAGAATTCTCATCGCCCTGCGTGGGGAATGAACCCATGTGGTGCCCTGTAGGAAGACCTATACTACTACAGGGTTTAAGATTTAGAAGGAATGGCAAAGAAAATGGACCCTACTGCAATAATGGTTTATTTAGGGACTAATACAAGGACCTGTGACCTTAAACCCTAAACTCTAAATCCTGTACAAGCCCTCGATAATCTCTATATATCCCCTTTAAGGAGTGTAGACTATGTCTCATATGTCTCGCAGCCATGACTTCTCATGAGCCAAGACTGGAGAACAGCTGCTCACGCCGAAGAATGAGCCTGGAAACCAAATGACCCCAATATATACACTAAAATCCCGAACATTGAGATAATATAGGGCAATATAGGTTATATAGGGAAAATGGACAGGAAAATTGCAACTGCAGGGATTAAAGAGATTATATAAGGGTTATCCCCAATGTATACCCTATGATCCCTAACATAATATGGCAGTTTCCATTTTCTGTTCCATTATCCCTATGTAACCTATGTTACCCTACATTCTCCCAATAATACCTGCAGCCTCTTTGATGATGATTTTTACCCTAAACCCTAAATCCC